TTGACACTAATCGTTTAAGAATATATGAACTTTATCTAAACCACTAACACAACTTTTAATTTTAAAACGAAGTCTGAGTTTAATCTTTAAAATATTATGCCACTGATTTGATCCTTTTAAATAAACATATAGAAAGGATAAAACAGTAATTTTTACAGACCAATAATTTCATATGGTCTAATATATGATGAAGATTTATAGTGACAAATAGACTCATATCTACAGTAGAAGAATACCCTCAACACCAAACACAATTGTCATGAACCAGATAGTTAGCAAGTTATAACACTGTTCATACTGTGAATTGCATTAGAATTTTGTGCAGGTCTACATATGTATGCACTGCAGGTTTTCAACTTAATCTAGGACTGTGTTCAATTAACAAAATGCAATTAAATTTCTAATAATCTGACATTTAAAAAATAATTTTTACACTAATAATATAGTGTCCTTAAGGCCAATCTATAATGCATATATAAATGACTTTATTAAAATGAATTTATTATTGTTGTTGTTGTTGTTATTTGTCGTCGAGTCGCCCCCGACTCATAGCGACCCCTCCTTAGGTTTTCCGAGGCAGTATCACTATGGAAGTAGGATTGCCCAACCTTCCTTACTGATTAATAATTATAGTGTAACTTATTTTTCTTTTGAATAACTTGCCTTGTTTTTATGCACTAAAACACATATCTGAAATATGATTTTTGACTTTAGACGATACCTCTCAAGGTATATTAAGAGTTTGTGGCACAAGAAGATATGGATACTTCAGTGTTTCTCACTTCAAAGTAAAATTCAGAATTATCATTTTCCTTAGATGTATTTCAGCTTGTCTGAAATTGTCTATTTTTACTAAAATACAGTATATACAACATTTTTGTATAGAAATTAATAATATTTAGGGAAGTTGCCGAAAATAATTTTAATTAATATCTCAAATAATACAAGATGACTTATGAAACTATGTTTTGTTCCTTCATCACTGAAGTTATAATTGTCAATTTGAATTAAAAAATAACTGATTGTTTTCTTAGTAGTATGGTTGCCTTGAGTCATGGCAACTCAAACACAGTTAACAGCATCATGATGAATGATCACAATTTTTTTTAAATTTCCTTTCCTAAGAATTTTAAAATATCATGATGACATTTTGAGTTGTTGAAAAGTTGTCATAAGGCAGAAAGCTGTACACACACAAAAAAAAAACCCCTAAATCCTGAGTCTAATTTAGAGAAGTTCCACAATAAATATCATTAAGTTAGCCCTATGATCTTGTACTCTCTAGACACATTTTCCTGGACTGATAAACATTAACCTTTCAATTCAATAAACATCTGACAGTTCATGTCAGCATTTACCTAATGACTTTTGAGAAGTGACCTGTTGTTGTTGTTAGGTGCTGTCGAGCTGGATCCGACCCCTCCTTGGGTTTCCAAGGTGGTATTACTATGAAAGCAGATTGCCCGACCTTCCTTCTGAGGAGTGGCTGGTGGGTTTGAACTGTCCGCCTTCTGGTTAGCAGTCATGTGCCTTAGGTACTGCGCTACCAGAGCTCCTAATAAAAACCCACTATCACTGAGTCACTTCCAACTCATAGCTACCCCCACTGAGTTTCCAAAGTTGTAAATCTTTACAGATGCATGCCACCCCATTTGTCTGCCACGGAGAAGCTGGTGGGTTTGAACCACCAACCTTGTGTTTAGCAGCTAATTGCCTTAACCACTACACCACCAGAGCTCCTTGAGAAGTGACCTAGTAATAAAATATTCTGTATATATTACCTGTATACAATCTCAGAATTCCTATAGCACTTCTCAAATCGATGGTACCCATTCCCGAGTAAATGTTACTTTAGAATTTTAGAAACACTCAATTAAAAAAAAAAAAAAACTCACGGCCATCCAGCGGATTCCGACTCACAGCGATCTCTTTTGGGTTTCCAAGGCGGTAAATCTTTATGGAAGTAGATTACCCAGTCTTCCTTCCGTGGAGTGGCTGGTGGGTTTGAACCACTAACCTTCTGGTTAGCAGTCTTAGCAGTCTTCTGGTTAGCCTTAGGCACTATGCCACCAGAGCTCTCCTTTAATGAAGATCTACACTTGTAAAACAGGAAAATTTACCTAATGCTTTGCCTGATTTTCATATCTGAGTTGCCATATATAGTCAAAAAGACTATTTCCTATAAATAAATAATTTTTCAGCTTCTTTCTCATGGATAATATTTGTACTTTTTTGCTCTTAATGTATTTGATAGTCTTTGCCACTATACTCAGTGGTTTGTATTTTCAGTATTAAGGATACTCAGCTGAAGTTGAGCTTGCTATTTAAGAAATGGGCCACTAGGTGGTAGCAGCGAACCATGAATACAAAAGATCGCATAACTTGGTTGATGAAACTTATTAACAAAAACAGCTAAAGCTCACTGAGTAATTACTTCGCTCCAGTTAAGTCATTATATAATTTAATTACCATGACAACTTTGTAAGTTAGAAATTATTATTATACCCATGTTACAAAGTGGAAAATAGGATTGTAGAGATTGAATTGCCCAGGGTCACACCTGTGTGGAATTAACCCCCCATGTAGTTTACACTAGAGCTGGACTCACATTCTAACAACTGTGATGTTGTCACAGACTTGTGTGATTGAGATCCCTGAACTGGCATTTGGCTCAAGCACATAGATTTAATTACATAATTTCCTACTCAACAACATAGGAGCGCTCTGGTAGCGTAATGCCTAAGGCACTCAGCTACTAACCAGAAGGCTGGCGGTTCAAGCCCACCAGCCACTCCTCGGAAGGAAGATTGGGCAATCTACCCAAGGAGGGGTCGCTATGAGTCGGGTCTGGCTCGATGGCACATAACAACTCAACAACATCTTGTCTAAAATTCATTTTATAAAAACGAAAAATGATTTCAATGATGAAAGTTGATAGTAATTATATTGCAATTTACTTAATAAAATACTAAGTATTAGCTTCCATGAGTCCAGAAGAAATGAATGATGCACAGCTACCATTACTGAACATTTTGATCAATGACCCAAGAGATGGATCCTGATTAAAAGGAAAAAAGTGGAACAGAACTTCAAATTTTTATGAAGACCAGACTTACTGGCTTCATAAAGACTTGTGAAATCCCAAATCTATTGCAACTTTTAAGCTTTGAACTGAAACTGTCTCATGAAGTAATCTTTAAACCAAACAACTCTTTAATATAATTAATGAAGAATGTTTGGTTGACCATTGAGCACTTTTGAAGAATTATCTATATAAGATCAAATTGACAACAGTAATGCTGAAGCACAGACTAGTGCTTTAAGGAGCAGAGAACCTAAATGAACAGTTCATGGCGGTGAAGCAACATGGGTAGAGATAGTGAGAAGGATCACACAATGTTAAGTGTGTAACCACTGCCATTGAACCGTACATGTAAATATTGTTGAATGGATGTACATTTTACGTATAGTATCATTTAAGAAAATAAAACTCATCAAGACTGTGCAGCTAGTCAGCCAAGAGGTCTTTATTCAAAGTTTAAGATCAAAATCCTTCCTTACTCAGCCATGTTGGGAAGTTACTGTTAACTGATTTTAAAATATGGCTTAATTATTATTAGAGTCAATTCTGATTTAGTGGCTGACAGGGGCAGCAACAACAGTATCAAGAAACTCCCATTTAACTGGCATGCATTTCCTCAGCCCAGTTGAGAGATACTGAATAGAGACAATATTGGGAACACATGGACTTATTCTCCTCCCACTTCCTGAGATGGGGTTGACTCTTTTCCCTTATTTTATCCTCCACATCCCTTCTCTCTCCACCCAACAAAAGATGTGAAGTTTGGACCACATCTTTTGCAGGAAAGAATTGAATGAAGGACTGGAGCTCATCTCCTACTGTCTAAATTTCTATTTTCAAAGGGCACATGATGGTGTTTACTTTATTCAATAATGATCTATTTCCAGGAAACATTTGATCACAGCACATCCTGTGCCAAGCTCTCAGATGGTCAGACTTGTATGTGTCCCTTTCCTCTTTGCTCCATCAGCAGTATTTTATGCATTCCTGCATCACTTCACTTACCACATTATACTGAAATAAGCTGTCTACACTTCAGTCTTCCCAATGAAACTTCAAGATCCTTAAAGCCTGGTCTCAGTCATCACTGTATCCTTAGTACCTACCACAGTCTCAAGCACATAAGATGTAATTATTTAATTTTTATCAAAGGGAAGTACACTGAACACAATTACTTTAAAGAACAGCTAGAAATAACAAATAAGAACGTAGTTTTGGAAATGCTTTGTGCAGTGCTATACAAATCAAAGCTATCACTTTGCTAATTCCTCTATTAGTAGACTTGAGATTTCTATCAATAATTTACTAATTTGTCACAGAATATAATCTTTAAGAAAGGCATAAATACATAATAACTATCATTTTATATCTTCTTTTTTGAAATTTTTAATATCTTCACATATAGACAGAGTTTTATGAGATTGGAATTGACATCTATTTCTGAGCTCACCAAGGGATTTGACTAGATTCTCACATTGGACTCAATGGGGCAGTTCTTATTTTCAAAATAAGAGAAGAGAATGCTGAAACAGCAGATATCTGTAGACCCCTTTTCCTTCTCACACTTTTTCTTTTTGCTAGCCAGAGGTTACACAGGTTAAGAGAAAGTTGATCATTTAAAGGAGGACCAAAGGATTTTTACTACATTTAGCTGCTTGCAGCATGATATTCCCAGAGCTAATACAGTGTTTAATATTATAACCTGGATTTTTATTAAAAAAAAAAAAAAGTCTTACTAAGGTGACTTTTTATGCACTACACTTTTTTTTTTCTTTTAATGTGCCACATGTAAGAAGTTACCCAAGGAAAATATCATTTCTCTGAAAATTAATTTTCATACACAATGGAAAAACATGGATTTTGAATTTAAACAACGAGATTTGAATAATTTTAAAAGATTAATGCCTCTAATATTTACCTGTAATGTTGGTCAGTTCTGCTTCTTCCTCAGAACCAGCATTAAGAGGGGCAGGGGCACAACTAAGCAGCAGACACACAGAGGCCCAAAATACATGTTCCTTCTTCATTGTGTACATCATCTCTGAAAGAGAGCCCATATACATCTAATAAATGTATTGAGATGGAATCACCTGCAGACTAATAGGACCTTTATAGACATTTCCAAATGCAAATTTTTATGACATTTCAAATGTATGCTGATATCTCTCTCTACATAGTCCATAAGTCATATTTATAACACAAGAATGTAGTATTCGAAATTACAAACACACACAAATTTAATGTGTATGTTTAACAATATTAAGAACATGCATCATATTTCAGACTTCAAAAGAAAAAAGAAGAGAACAGTAATTGAGAAACATGGGCAAATACAGATCAACATGCTAAATGTATATTAAGATCTGTTTTCATATGCAAATCTATTTTCCAGATGTTTCACAGGTATTATTTTTTATTCAGTTGGAATTAATTATCTTTTTAACTTTTTTTTTTTAATTTTTTATAATTTCTTCAATGCAAACTTTAATAGTGATTACTTTTTTTCTTGGTCCTGATACTTCCTTTGAAATGAAGCACATTTTTAGAACTTTGATTTTGTTTCTTTTAAGATATAATTCTATTTTTTTATAAGCAATTTCCTAACCAGGTGTTCTATGAGATAACAAAGTGACAGATGTGCTGACAAAAGAAATGTTTTACGATCCAGCCAGTCCTTTTCCTCCATTCTTCCTTTCTCAGGAGTTAATCTGATTCAAGAGAGTTTCACAGAAAAGTGACTAAAGGTGACAAGCCAGCACTTTTGTGTTCTAAGGGATACAGGTTTCAGCAGCAGAGTGAGACACTTCTTGTTTCAAACTGATTTAAAAATCCAAACCAAAAATAATGGAAAAACACAGCTTTTTTTTTTTTTTAAGAGTATTTCTCCTTTGGATCCAAAGGTAGACAGGAATGTGTAAAGTTCATGGAGCACAAGAAGAGAAAAACAAGGGGAGAAAGCTCGTGCTCAACCACTAAAGCTATTAGAGTCAGGAAGGAGAATCAGTGCTTCTCAGCAAACAGCAAAGCAGGGCCAGAGAGCCCATCAGAGACAATTTAGAGAATTTTCCATTTTGCCTGTAGTGAATCACAGCTGCAACATGCCTCATTAAGGTGTGGGTAGCCATATAATACATCCAACTTTGCTTTAAGCTTCATTGAAATCATTAGTGAAATGTATAACCTATTTTCTTGCAGCACGCAACACTTTGGCAATGTTAAAACACTGTATTTTCAGTCAACCATGTTTAGATACTTCTTAAATCATATTGTAAACTATTTTAATTCACAAAATATATTGATTGATACATCACTGCTATTGAATTGACTCTGGTTCTTGGACACCCTATGTAAAACAGAACAAAATGTTGCCCAGTCCTACCTATGCCATTTTTATGATCCCTTGCAAGTCTGACTATAACTATGGCTATTGTGCCAATCTATCTCACCAAGGGTCACTTTCACTGGCTATCTACTTTACCTTTGCCTTCCTCCAGTGTTTGAGGGAGCTGGACAATGTTCTTTTGTGATCTCATTGAGTTCTGAAATAATGACTAGAACGTCAGCAGTAGCTCAGAGAGAGATTTAATAAGAGGATCGTAATCTTGCAAGGTGGAGACACACTGGGCCAGAAGCAACGCCATGTGTGTCTCCCCAAGCCTCACAGGCTAAGAGTTTTTATAATAATTTTAAGTCTGTCAACTGACATAACATGCTACACAAAAACAATGTTCTACTTCCTACTTTGGTGAGTAGTGATTGGGGTCTTAAAAGGTTGCAGGTGGGCATACAGATGCAATGATGGGTCTCTCCTCATCCAGAGAAAAGAAAAATGAAGAAAACCAAAGACGCATACAAACAATTAGTCCAAGGGACTGGTAGACCATTGGAATCTCTGCCTATAGGACCATGAGACCAGAAGAACTAGATGGTGCCCAGCTACCAATATCAACCACTCAGAGGGGGATTGGTACAGGCAATCTTGGATAGTAGGAGAACAATATGGAACAAAACTCAAAATCATTAAAAAAAAAAAAAAAAAAACAAGTGAACTGCTCTAATAGAGGCTGGTGAGATCCCTGAGACTACGGCCCCAAGTTATCTTTCAGGTCTGTAATTAAAGTCACTCTGGTGGCTTCCAGCCAAACAACAGACAGGAATTTGGGGTAAAAATTTACATAAAGTAGATACACTCCTTTGAGTGATCAGATCAATCCTGGGAGAACAGAAGGGCAGTGTTTGCACAGGTAGATATCCTAGGGGGCAGAAGTGCATGGGAGGAAAGGACACAGGGAAGAGGTGACTATGGGGAGGAAGAGGGAAGAGAGCTGTCATGGTTATGGGGAATTGCAGTCAATGTCATGAAATAACATGTGTATGAACTGCAAAAAAACAAAAATAAGTCTTAAGACTGTAGGGTACGTAATTTCAAAAAACCTTATGTGGGCAAGTTACTCATAAAACCCTGACCTTTTGCACAAGTCAGGGAAGTGAAACAAGGCTATAGGTTAACGATAAATTCCTAATGATAAACCTCAACTTCCTTCAGGCTAGATGTGTGCGCAATCTCTTTCTAGGACGGAGTCAGTGTGTTTCAACATGGTTGCCATGACTTCTGTGCAGGTGCATTCTGCCATTTGCTCCTGGTTAGAGTCTTGGTTTTATCTTAGATTGGTCATCTTAGTTCATCAGGTGGTCCAGGAGAGCAGGAATGTGCAGGCTCCAAAACCAGTTACTGCTGACCGTGGAGAGTGGGCTAGAAAACATCTCAAAATTGGCCTGTTATCAGGAAATGCCACCTTAGCAGTAAATTTACATTGGCGCCGTTTCTCTTGCAGTGTTCTTTCCTTGATCTCATGATCTGAGGAATGTGGTTGCCCCGTTCTGTGAGCTGCTCCTGTCTTGACTTTATGATCTTAGGAATTGGTTGCAGGGGCAGGATTCTTATCTGATTATAGCTACAACTAATAGAATAAGGCAATGTTTAAATTGAACAAAATTAAAACGGGGCTTTAGATGAAGTTCGAGCACATATTCATATTTTTTATTACATTGCTTCGGTAGCAGGCTGTAATTGAGTACTTGACATATAACTAGATGAGATTTAGGGCTATAAATCTTTCATGTTCTTTTCTTTAAACATGGGGGCATAGAGTCTGGTCCAAATTAAATAGTTCATACTTTCATTGGTTGCAAGGATTAGAAGTCAGTTTAGACAAATAAAAAAATATCATTAGCTCACTCATTCTAGTGTAGGTGGAACAATTTAAGATTAGACAGAAAGATTAGCAGTTACATCTCAGGAACAGCTGCAGCCAGGGAGTTGGACATCATCAGATGTCTCTCATCACTCTTAAACTACTTAGATACACTTCACTCTTTCTCAATGAAGCCCAATGTTCTCCACATAGCCAGATGCATGACAGAAAACATTTTCTGGTTTTACAACTTGAAAGATTCATCCATCAAAATAATGGACCGGGCTCAACTAACTTGAAAACGACACTGTTTGTTTGTTTGGAACATGTGCCCATCTATGGATAGATAACTTTCTGGTGGAGAACTATGGGAAATAGGCATGAATTGGGTGGGCCCTAACCCAGGCTGTGGGAGAAAGATGTAGTAGTCTGCTTCCATAAAGATTACAGCCTTGGAATCTCTGAGGCAGTTCTACTGTGTTCTGTAGGGTTGTTATGACTTAAAATTGACTCCATATATTTGGTTTTGGTTTTAAACCAGTCAGAGAGAAAGACTAGGAAAAGGTAGTAACGTTGCAAATCTTAATGTAAGTACATTGTTGGAAAATGGACATGCTTAGCTCCCGACAGGAGGAGATTGTTCTTTTAGAAGAAAAGAGTGTTGGGTGGATAAAACTATGACTATCTCCTACAACATGTCATATCTAATTAGTGGCCAAACTAGACCTTAAATTAATATAATTAGAAAACTATTTTAGTGCTCTTTCTTCTCCACAATGTTACCTCTCAGATGTGACCAAAAGCACTAAATGATTCAGTATCTCAGAACAGTAGAAGACTAATTTGAGCAAATTATTATGAAAACGGTACAATTTGCTACAGCACTGCTAAAACCATGATCTGTGGAGATCAAGTGGAGGGATCTTACTTAATTACATACAATTAACTTCTTGTTTTTTAAAATATTAAAATTCATCATTAGACTATAATGCAAGATGATCAAAACCACAAACTTAAGCTGTAAATTGGTTATCTCACTTCTCATACCTCTATCTTTTTATTTTCCTAAATAGTTGGCCCCATTAGGAATATGTATTATCTCATTCCTATTTTTACCTCACTTAGTTTCACCTATTTTACTTCAATCACAATAACTGATATTAGGCAGCTCACAGATATAAATGCAAAAGGTAGAATACTCTATCTTGTAGAAAAATAAACAAACAAACAAGAACTATGTTCATGATGAAGTAGTTTTATTTTTTAAACAGAATATAGAAAGCACCAAATATAAAATATATTGGATAACTTGGATTTCATTGAAAGCAAGAATTTCTGTTCATCAAGATATGCCCCATTAAGATGCTGAAATGGCATACTACCTGTTAGAGAGCTCCTATCTGAGTTTCATATATCTGAAAATTCTATATTGACAATACATAATGAACTACAAATCAATACACAATTATAATGGGTAAAAGACTTGAACAACCACTTCCTAAAGAATATACACATGTGGCCAAAGAACATATGAAAAGATACGTAACATCATTAGTCATCAAAGAAATACAAATTCAAACTATTGTAAAATAGCATATCCCACCAATAAGAAAAGCCAAAATATAATCTCACCATATCAAGTGTTTGGCAAGGATGTGGACCTTCACATTGTTAGAAGGATTATAAATTGAGACAACCCTTTTGAATTCTGTTTGGCAAGAAACCAAGACAGAATTTTATGAAATTATTGGAATTGAAAAGTAGATAAAAAATTATATTGCTATCAAG